AAAGATGTCGATTGGAATAGTGGGATTATATAAATACATGTTGGCTTAGATGACTTTTCAAAGTCAATTTATGTCAATTTAATTAGGTGGATGGAATAATTACCAAATTCTATTATCTTCATGTTAATTTAATCAACATCCACTATTATTTTTTTCCCCGGTAATTATCAACATCCATTATTGAAAACCCAAATTTCTCACACAAGCAAATGGTAGAAAAGGAGATTTTAAGTTAATAATTGGATTAAACGCAATTTTTTAAAACCTTTTTACAAGGTTTTTTCCTTTGTTTTTAATTGAGTAGAAGTTGAAGCTCTAAACCTATTGTTTTTGTTGTTAGTGTTAGATTTTTAAATTTAATAATTTTTATCACTTTCTAAAATTTTTTAAATAATTTTTATCTCTTTATAAAATTTTTATGAGTATTTTAAATAAATGTGTGATTCATCACTTTGGCAAAAGATCAATTCTGAATAGAACTTTTACATAAGTTGCATTTAGTTCAAATAGGCTCTTAATTAACTGAATAAGCAAGACAATGACCTAATCTAAGACTAAGATTATTGATAAATAAGATAAGGGGGGTTAGTACTTATTCTCTTACTTCTTAAAAATTAAGAGGAAAATTATCTTAAAATTGTATTATTTTAATAAAACATTACAAAAAAAGATAAAAAAAACCTTAATTTTTGCTTTAAAAATATGATATTTTAATTTTTTTTAAAAAAATTTATTAAAATGACATAATTTTAAAATAATTTTTCTTTTAATCTTTAAAAAATAAGATAGATAAGTACTATTCTTATAAAATAATTCAACATAAAATTAAATAAATAAATAAAATAATGGACAAAAATATTGGCCCTAAGAAAAACCCAAACCCATGTATAAGTAGGATTGCAGCCTTAAAAAATATATATATATATATAAATAAGACAATAATAACTTAATTTATTGATAACTAAAATAAGTATATAAAAAATCTATGACCAACGCTGTGGTGGTAAAGAAGCAGAAACCTATGATTTCAATACACAAAGATATGCCTATGATTTCAGCCTTTATCAAACAAATATATAAATAAATAAATGGGCTCAGAAGTTTGGGCCAAATTTTGAAAGTAATTATAAAAGACCCCCAGTTGGGTACAAACCCCCAAGGAATATTCTGATACAACTTTTAAGCTTAGGCTTCAGCCCATCAAATTGGGTTTGAGCCTAAAAGAATATGAAAGAGACAGCAAACTAGCAAATAAAGCAAGAAACAAGTAAAAGCAAAAACCCATTTATTGCATCTAAGCATGCATTTGTATCTAATGTCCAGTATATAAATTTTATTCTACATGTAGACCTAGCAATTTTTTACCAAACCTGTTAACCCACCCATTACTCGCCTATTTAAAACGGATTAGAGTCAGATATTCATGATCCATGACTTATTAATAACCCGTTAAAAGAACTCGACGGATCACAGATCAATAATAGATTGACTCACCAGGTTAACAGACTTGACTTGTTGACTCATCTAAAAATTTAAAATTTATTATTTATTTATTTTGTTTTCCAATTCCCAATCCCACATAAATCTCTAATAATTAATTAATTCTCCATAATTAGCTAATTGATTCTCTTAACTTATCATCTTCTAAAAGCAAAAATAATTCCACTCCACTCATGATTCACCTTCCAACCTTTCCTGCTGTTGCTTGCTCTAATACTCTCTTAGACTCTAACTCTTTAAAGTTCAAATTCTTCTCATATTCTTCAACCTCCACAGTATATATAGCCTTTAACTTTCAAGCTTTGACTTCATCTTTTCTCTTTAATCTTTAACATTATCTTAGACTCAAATCTCAGTCTCACTGAGTCACCATCGCATCGACTTAGCCTTTTTTTTCTTTCTCCTTTGATTTCAACAAGTGTTCTCTTTGTCACCAACTTTTCTCTCTAAAGCCTTAAAGGTAAGTTGTTTACTTATTTATACTTTTTAGTTTTCCTTCCGTTCCAAGTAAAAATTCTACTTGATCTTCTCATTTGCTTACTCAGATGCATTCAATTGATTGATTATTTGAAATCAATGCCTAGAACAAATATATTCCAATGGGGTTTGTGTTTTTTGGTTGTCA